TATCTATCTATCTATCTATCTATCTATCTATCTATCTATCTATCTATCTATCTATCTATCTATCTATCTATCTATCTATCTATCTATCTATCTATCTATCTATCTATCTATCTATCTATCTATCTATCTATCTATCTATCTATCTATCTATTGAGAAAACTACTTTTAAGCAATATACAAACTAGAGGCATAGCTTCCTCAAATGATAGGCGTGGCTGTCTAACACATGCATATACCTGTAAATATATGGTGGTGTCCATCTTTAATTTAGACGTGGCAGTTTCCTATATGACCCTTCTTATGCCTAAATGCAGCTGCATACCAAAGTAGAAGTCGGCTTTCGGCTTATTTTGGAAGTTATCCAGCTCATAAGACGGACGGACAGACGGAGGGTATTTTCAGTTCCCCTCTTCCCTGCAGGGGACAATAAAAACCAAATTAAAAGAAAGTGACAACTTGATTCCTGTTCTCCAAATTAGTTTAAGCTAAACTCCATTGATGGACTTGTTTACATGTTTTAAGCCGGCTTCATTCTCCGTTTACACGATGTTCTGTTAAACGAATTACCAACAGAACTATTCTAAGTATAAGTACATGTGAAAGGATGGTGACTTTACAGAGGGTAATACTACCTCTCCGCTCTGCAGCAGAGCTGGACGCAGCTGGAAGTACAATGCTGTCGTTGTATTGGGCAGCTCCCAGGTGTAAGAGTGTGTGTGTTCAGCATTCCCTCCCATGCTTCTACTCCCACGAGCTTTAGCCGTAAATAAGAACGCGTTGTCATTCAACTTGCGTGGTTACATAAGCCTGCGCAGCTCGGGTAATGAATCACGACTTATTGCAGAGCTCTGTCAACACGGCCATTTATGTTCAATTTAGCAAATCCCCATGCCTTAAGTAAGAAAAACCAGGTGTTTTAATTCATTTTTAGTTTTTCTTTTGTCATTGCAGTTTTCTATACCCGTCATAGGCGGGCTGTGTTATGGTATAGTCTCTATGTATGTGAGCTTTCCCTTTTCTGGGCCATAACTTCTGACTCGCTCCAGAACTTTTAATGAAACTTCATACACATATGCATTATCACCAGACAATGTGTGGAAAACACTTTATATCATCACATCTCTATTTCAAATCAAGATCAAAGGTTACACAAGGTCTTTGCTTGTCTGGGCCATTGCTATAGATTGCTGTATAATAGTTTGTTGACGGGCGTATAATGTGCAGTACGGTAGTCCCTCGTTTATCGCGAGAGTTCCATTCCTAGCTTACCCGCGATAAGTGAAAAAGTAGGAATAGTAGTAAGTACAAGTAGTAGTAAGTAGTAGTTTTAGTATTTTATATATATTAAGGCGCTTTAAACCCTTCCCACACTCTTGCAATATTCGAAACAATGTTTCTAAACTCTAAGCCAATTGTGTGTCATGTCCCATCTTACTTTGAAAAACCGTGAAAGAGCGAGTCCGCGAAAGTCGAACCGCGAAGTAGCGAGGGACTACTATACGCTTGTTTAGTTCTAGAGTGCTAGAGCTCGATTTGAACTCCTCCGCTGGATCTGTTCTATGACAGAAAACATCCGAGGCTACAGCCTCAAATAAACCAGGTCTAAAAACCACGTTAATGCTAACTATTGTAAAAGCTAGTCTCATTTCTAAAGTGTTCTGTAGTATGTTAAATCAAAAGCCGCAAAGGCAGCAGCCGAAGTGGGCCAATGTCGTCCAAGCTGGGCAGCAAGAAAATGTGAACTGCTTAGGAATGCAGTTTTGCATTGTGCTCATGAAAATATGTCATATTTTAAAAAATTGACCTCCTGCAGTGGTTTCCTGACAAATACTTAGAATACATTGAGACTGCAGCTGAAAATCTCATTTTCTCACTATCTTGTGTTGCCAGTTAAGTCTCCAACAGTCTCCGACGAGTCACTACCTTAAACTCTTCATGCTGACAACCCAACTTGTTATTTTTGTGGAACAGCTTCCTGTAGCAAAGGATTTAAATAGAGGAAGAATCACTCAATGTTTAGTAGGGATGCACGATATTATCGGCATCGTATCGGTATCGTTGATATTAGCAATAAATTAAAATATCGGACATCGGCTATTCCATCAAAATAACTCATTGATATAAAAGGCGCTGTTTTTGTACGACAATCCAGTGACAAGGACGCCTGCAGTGGCAGCACAACGTGATGACGTCGTGTGCGCATACCTAATCTCACAGCGGAGAGGAAAATTCAAAATGTCAGCGGTGTGGACGTTTTTTTTTTCTCCGTTGTTGATGATGTCAGATTCCGACGATTTTTG